AAACAGCTTATCGACTACTTGAGAAGATTTCCCAAGAGAAAGTAAACCCTACAGACATTGGTCTTATTCAACAAAATCTGCCTACAGAAAAATCTGTCACCCAAAGTACACCAACATATAATTTACTTTAAACCTAAACTACCAGTGAATGAACAGAAATATCATTACTTTCAACAAAGGCATGGAATTAAAACCAAGCCAGCTATGGATCATTAAAAATACCATTTACTTTATTTACAAAAGAATTAATGTCTGTCCATTAAATTAAACCACTATGAAAACCAAAGGTGAAATTATACCAGTATTTGCAGTTCAATTTGAATTACATTGTGCAAAATATATGTATTAATTTGAAATGAGAAAAAAAAGTATAATTTCCTTTGAAAGTTCCAGTTGTACAAACATTAGAGAATGTCAGAAATAAAGTTATTATTGGACACTTGTGTAAAATCATAAATAAATAAATGATCTACAGTATCAAATAAAATGAATTTTATTGTAGTAAAACTAAAAAAAAAAAAAAGTTTTAACTGTACTTATTTATTTAATATCAAGAGTACTTCAAACCAAGTTTTAATATATCAACCTGCTCGTGTTTTTTAAAGACATATTTACATTGTTTTGTTTCTAACAAAGTCACAAGTTCTTAGAATTTGTAATCATGTAGTTTACACTGGATACTATACCTTTCCATTTCCTTAAAGATGCCAGAGCTCTTGAACCTACCATGTTGGACTTCAGTCTCTTGTCTCTGTAAAAAATGCAGTAAAGTGCTTGATTTGAAATAAGTGACAAATGTTGAAGAAAAATCAAAACATTTAATTACATTTCCATGTAAGTTCAGTTTCAACAATTAGCAAACATACAAAAACTAAATCTTTGACCTATGTTAAAAAGTTTGTACATTATAAAATTATTTCATTTTATCTGATGCTGATTTTTTCCCCCATGATTATTAGCTTTCATTTTTGTTAGTAGTGAATCATTCATTTTTTTTTCAGTGTATTACGTAAGTTACAATCACTGGAACATATCTCAGTTATAGAGTAGGCCCCGATACGATACGTGTGTTGTATTGCATAACTAAGCTTTTCATTTTTATGATTTTGTAGACTTGGCATTATACCAAGGTGTATTATATATATATATATATATATATTGAAGATCCTGAGCTACACTTTTTTGTATAATTGGCAATACAATTAGGTGTATGATAGGGTATATTAGATGGTGTAGGTAAGTAAGTTACTGCCTTTTGTAGATTAGTGGGTGTGTCTAGGTGTATTTTAGATATTAAGAACTTAAATTACTAATTAATCCCTTATGTAGAGTAAAACATTTATTCATCATCAAACACATCAATAAACATCACTGATAGTTTAATAAATATTGACTAATAAGGCTAATCTTAAAAAAACAATATATGAACCTGTGAATAATTGATATGAAAAATTATTTAATGCACAGCTCATAGAAGCTTTCCTAACTTTGGTATTATGATTACTTGTTTGTTTTGTTGTTAAGCATAAAATTACACAATTGTCAATCTATGCTCTACCAATCATATCAAAACCAGATTTTTAGCATTATAAGCCCTGGAATTATTATTAATTTTGATCAATTGATTTCTATCTGTGCTCTACCAATCATATCAAAACCAGATTTTTAGCATTATAAGCCCTGGAATTATTATTAATTTTGATCATTTGATTTCTATCTATGCTCTAACAATCATATCAAAACCAGATTTTTAGCATTATAAGCCCTGGAATGATTATTAATTTTGATCATTGATTTCTATCTGTGCTCTACCAATCATATCAAAACCAGATTTTTAACATTATAAGCCCTGGAATGATTATTAATTTTGATCAATTGATTTCTATCTGTGCTCTACCAATCATATCAAAACCAGATTTTTAGCATTATAAGCCCTGGAATGATTATTAATTTTGATCAATTGATCTGTGCTCTACCAATCATATCAAAACCAGATTTTTAGCATTTTAAGCCCTGGAATGATTATTAATTTTGATCATTTGATTTCTATCTGTGCTCTACCAATCATATCAAAACCAGATTTTTAGCATTTTAAGCCCTGGAATGATTATTAATTTTGATCATTTGATTTCTATCTGTGCTCTACCAATCATATCAAAACCAGATTTTTAGCATTTTAAGCCCTGGAATGATTATTAATTTTGATCATTTGATTTCTATCTGTGCTCTACCAATCATATCAAAACCAGATTTTTAACATTATAAGCCCTGGAATTATTAATTTTGATCATTTGATTTTATTCCCTCAGTCTTGTTAATAGGTTGTAACATGGACATACTAGAAAATCCTCATTTCTTTTTTTTTGTTTGTTTGTTTGATGCTACAACTTTTCTATAGCTTGTTTTTTTTCTGCAGCCGATTGGCCCCACAGCTGTGGTAATTTAATGCCAGTTTAGAAACAACTATTAGCAAATAAATAATTTTTATATTATTTAAGCATAGAATTAAGATGGTGAATTAGTTTGCTCTTGGCAAAGGATCATTCTCATACAACAATCTTTAAGTTTATAAACTGCATAGTTTACTCTCCTATATATTAAAGCAACCATGTTTTGTGAAACAAAATCAGGGACACTTGTTTTACATTTTTTTACTGTAATCACCACAATTCCAGAAGCAGGCAACAGTGAAAAAGCTTGCTGTATTAGTGACAGTTGCATTTCTATGATGAGTGTATCTGTTTTAGGATTTTACTGTTCTAAAAAGAGCAAGAAAATTTTCTATGACATACTCATAGTTGTAACTATTGTGACTGCACCAGTGTCAGCACACCACAATGCTATAACTAATCTAATAATAAAAAGACTGACTCCAATGTGCTGCAGACTTCATAACACGTACAAGAAATGATATGGAAGGGTATTTCAGGGTTAGGAGGTTTCTTTTTTTTTATATATAAATTGGAGACACTTTCAAAAATACCATGGGCAACATTCCTTATTCAAATAGCCCATCATATAGCTTTATGCTTAACACCAAACAAACAGTTGTGAATTTGTCATATCAAGGTACACTAAATAAGTGACAAAATCAGCTCTTTTGTCTTGATCATCAATTTATTATTCATTACTCAGAGCATTAACATTGTATTTTCGAATCAACAGCAGTTAGTAACGATATACATTATCGGTAACAGATTAAGTGAAAATGACTGCCCCCAATTTTTTAAGCGTGAATTAACAATAAATGTTACCGCTCAATTTGTACTCTTTTTTTTTTTTTTAAATAAGCATATTTTCTTGTAAATATAAGAACTAAGAAAATTTAAAAAAACATATTCAACTGCTTTTATACAAAACTGAAATGTCAAGTTTATTATGTTATTCTAAAGTTTATGCTTCCTCAAAAGTAACTTGAGTATCTTCCCTTCTTTGCTTTCCACTGATTGGCTGATGATAATTTATTCAAATTAAGAATAAATTGGCCACCTATGTTTTCATAATTGAATTAAATAAGAAGAGACATTCCATAAGAATAATTTTAGTAATAAACCTGTTCCCAATAGGCGAGTCAGTAAACTACACTTTTGTTCCTTTACTTCTATATTTTTCACAATGACAGGCATATTTCACCTGAACAAAACTTCAATAACAATAGCAGACAATTATTCGAATGTGATTGGTATAGGTAGTTTGAATATTCAAATAATAAAATCAGGCATTCTTTTCAACACTATTTTCAACAAATTTGCTTGTTTAGTTGATAAACATAATTCAGTACTAATAGTAAAAAACTTACAGGCTGATGATGAATGGCATCCATTATCTCTTTCTCATAAACCTCTTCTTCTTTATCTTTAGGATAATGGCCCTGCCGCTCTTCGTGTTGTCTCTGGTGTTGAGCTCTGAGTTGAAGCATCCGCTCTTGCCTAATCTGAAGTGGAATGTGATTGGCTGATGCCAAGGATTCATTGCTACATGTCTGTTGTTGCTTCTGTTTTTCTACTAGCTTTCTGTACTGTTCTTGTATCCTATACAAAGTCTTGGAAAAGTTAATTTTGAACCACTAGCAACTTACATACTAAAGATACAAATGATGCACTCAATATCAAATAGCGACCCAACTGCTATAATAGTTAGAAGTAAATATTTAATTTAACTTGTGCACTATCTTAACTCACTGTACAGTACACATGATTCATGCACCCAGCAATTCTATAATATATACATATATTAATTAAAGTATTGCATAGCACTAAGTATGTTGATTTATATAGTTGGTGAAAATTATGTTAAGGTGTTGATTTAATCGTCCTTTTTCCTATTCAGGAATATTTTACTAGATTGGTATACTGGTCTTTAGCCTAGCTAGCTATTTGCCAGTTATTTAAATATGCTACTTCATCTTTTTAAAAGGTTATTTGCAAGAGTTCAAGACGTCTAACTTGTCCAGCCGCTTAGGATTTTCAGCATAACATTAAGAAGCAGACAGTGAAAGGCAGTAAGAATTGAGACGCTGTGGGTGTAAGCACTCAGCTACATACCCTTCATTGATTTTCCATGACAGCTGACAAGTTTATCATCAGCATTTGGATATTATCTAATTTAGGAGCTATTATCACAGGCATTATCCATTATAACATCATGTTGACAGCTAGGACTGACAATAGCAATGCTTATTTCATATTAAGTTCATTAGTTTTTTTACCATGCTGATGTAATTGCCTATTAACATCTAATGTAACTAATAGTATTACAGCTATCTATGAATTTATATACATACATATATATAAACACAGAACTGAGCCAAGAATCCAATAAAAAACCTACTTTTTTTTTCAAACAACTCTGTTTATAATATTAACTGACACCTATTCATTTGTAATGTACCCTACAGCTATACATTTTCAAAACCCAATGTTAATGACACGAATGAATCCCATAATTTCTCTAACCCACCGTGGTATGAATAATATTTTTACATGTAATCTACACCAAATGTGTTTCACTTACCTGGTAAAACTGAGTTTTGTACATGTACTCTACACCTAGTAGGTGTATCACGAACTTAGTACAATTGATTTCTGCACTTTACCTAACACATATAAACTTAATACTATTGATTTCTGTACTACATCTAACACATATAAACTTAATACTATTGATTTCTGTACTACATCTAACACATATAAACTTAATACTATTGATTTCTGCACTTCACCTAACACATATAAACTTAATACTATTGATTTCTGTACTACATCTAACAAATGTATCAACTCTGTACAACATATTTCTGTACTACATCTAACGAGAGCTTCTACCAAATTAGTACAGCTACTTGCTGTACTGTATACCTTTACAAGTGTATCGTAACTTGACTGCCATACTCTACAACTAACAAGAGCTTCTACCAAATTAGTACAGCTTGTACTAAGTTGGTGGAAGCTCTTGTTAGTTGTAGAGTATGGCAGTCAAGTTATGATACACTTGTAAAGGTGTACAGTACAGCAAGCACAGATTAATGTTCTCTAAACCTGTGTCCCTCACCAACTTCTTACACAGCTACTTTTTATATCCACCTTTCTTGTTCCTCCTGAGCAGTTTGTCTTGCTTGTGACTGTCCTTCCACTTCTTCAGTTTCTTTTCTAGATAATTTATTTCCTTGTTCCTGTTGTGATTTTTTGTTTTTCACAAACCTTTTGAGTAGAGAAATATCCAAAATTAAGAATTATGCATGATGTAGAAAACCTTACCATACATTCAACAAAACTAAATTGAGCTCCCTGCACAACATACACACTTACAACACCTAAAAACAACAACTCTGAAATGAATTATTTTTTAAACCAATAAGCAAAGAAACCATAGCTCTATGTCCATCAGTACTATTAGAAACAAAGATATTAAATTAGAGTATGAATCGCAAAAACAAAAAACAACAACTAAAAGATGTAGAATTTACAGGATTAGGTGATAAATTATTTAACAGAATTTAAAACTGGTACACAAGTTTTCACATTCACAAAGAAAAACAGACATGGTTAAAAGATTACTCCGAACAATGTGAAGAGTAGATAACTATCGTTTCGTCACAGATTACGAAGCACTAGTAACAATTCATTTATCGCTCCATAACCTCAATAATTTACAGAATTCCTCTAAATTCATAATAAATCTATTGAATAATCAAAAGTACAAACATTCATAAAAAAGACAATGAAACTTACTTAAAAACTGAACCTAATCCTTTCAGCAGTCCTTTTTTCTTTGCTGTTTTTCCTGAGTTTTGTTGCCCATTCAAAGGGTTACTGCTGACAGAGGTTTGTTGGATATTTCTAGTAGTTGATACTTGTCCATGAACCCCCTGCCCATTAGAACTGCTGCTTTCATTGTCTTCATCCACTAAATAATTTGTATCATCATTAGTACTTATGACAAGGTGTTAAACAGTAACCATTCATTCTTGTTCATATAGGAGAATATACACAAAAAATGTTTATGCAAAATATTTTACTGTAATTAAAGCATTGGAAGTTATTAAATCAAAATTGTTATTATCAGCATTACATATTAACATATAAATAGTATTAAACTTTACTATAGAGCTGGCTGTTTAAATAAATTATCTACGAGCAGCAATTATGTTGATAAGTGTCACATACAATAATCGATGAACTGGTTTGGTTTGTTTCAAATTTTATGCAAAGATGCATGAGGGCTATCTGTGCTACCCATTCCTAATTTAGCAGTGAAAGACTAGAGGGAAGGCAGCTAGTCACCACCATCCACTGCCAACTCTTGGATTACTCTTTTACCAACAAATAGTGCGACTGATTGTCACATTATAATGCTCCCACAGCTGAGAGGGCAAACATGTTCAATATGACGGATGTGCACACCACCAATGATGAAACTTGAATGTTAACATTACAAGTATATTTTTTATTTTGATGGTGATTTCCATGTAACCATTTTCATTTTTGCTTCAATGATACAATAATCAATTAGAAAATGCCACTAACTGTGTCCAGCTCTACTCTACTTACTGATTATTCTTTCAGTAAAGCATTAAATGATAGACTTTATTTAGTAACACTGCCTAAACCAATGACTCATTAACCCTTCAGTTGAGTAACAAATGTTAAATTTCACTTAGTAGCACTGCCTTCTCCAATGAGTGATTAATCTTTCAGTAGAATAACAAATTTTAAACTTTGCTTACTAGAACTGCCTGCTCCAGTGAGTAACTAATCTTTCAGCAGCAATAAAATGCTATTTGTGATGCCACATTTTCACACATAACACCTTTAGTTATCAAGAAGTCATGAATATTCGTGTTGTATTTCACACAATTTTTCTTATTTAGATTTTATCAAACGTAAGCCTTAGAAACTGCCGCTGATCAATGCTATTAAAATTCTTATATTATAAACTTATAATATTATCAAAAGTGAAGGGATTAAATTTAAAATTTCAGTCAATCATTTGTTTTTATAAGTTTACAAACACCTATGACACTTTGGAGTTGTTAAAAAAAGAAAATGTATGAATGATAATAAACTGATATAAATAAAGTTATGTTTTGAATATTAATAACTTTAAGAATATTTCTATACAGATAAAAAATGGAAGAAAAATGATAATCTTAATTCTCAATCTGAAGATATAATATTTGTACAGAGACAACAACATAACCACAGACTGACACAATAATAATTAATTCAATATAACACATCTGCTGAGTTTTGTTTTTATTGATGTAGATTTTTCTAGATCTGTTGATACAGGCTAAACTAATCATACAATCTAATTAAGTATATTGAAATGTTGGATGAAAAGACTGCCAAAGTAAAACCTTTAAAAGTGAAATAACATTGTGATTGTAAACACATTTAGTTTTTTTCTTTCATTACAAATACATTTTTGAAAATGATACAAGTGTTCCATACTATATGTAAATATTGTTTAAGAAAATTATGCCCAATTTTATATTAACATATAAATGATTCAAAGACAAATATCCTCCTTTACAAATTAAAAACATAAATAAATACCAACATCTGAAAAACTTCAAGCTAGTTGTGATTGTTGAATAATTATCAACCAATGACCAGTAAATGCAGTCAGCAAAGCTCAAATCAAAAACTAACAGTAAGAGCAAAGAAACAATATTTTCAGTTATACTGAATATATTACAAAAATGTTTAGTTTCTATTTTCACTTGACACAATGCAAAATAACAAAAGCAATATTTAAGCTTGTATATTTTCTATTAAACTGTAATGGTATATCTTGGCATTCTACTACTTTGAGCCTACTTACAGTTTTGTCAAAGATAAAAGAAAGCTTTCACACATTACAGTGTAGGCTAATATTGACAGAATTACAGCAAGAATGCAACCTGCTTCTGGTCAGAATTTATAAATCTAATGGATTTTGAAATATAATCACTTCATTCTGTAATTAATAACTACAAAAATATCATAAAGAATGACAGTTGTTTTTTTATTACTCTACTCAGAACTAATTTTATGATGTATGATTTATTGTTTTATTAATATTTTTTGTGTTAAAAAGATCAAATTCAAAAAATATTACTATTATGTAAATTTACATGTGCAAAATGATGGAAATATTTTCCAGGTATTTGATGACATTAGTAGTTTTTTTATGTTACTATTATGTAAT